ATTATATTTATATAGCGCCATCAAATTCCGCAGCGCTTTACAATGGGTGGACGAACAGACATGTAGTTGTAACCAGACAAGTTGGACACACAGGAACAGAGGGGTTGAGGGCCCTGCTCAATGAGCTTACATGCTAGAGGGAGTGGGGTAAAATGATACAAAAAGGTAAGGATAGTATTAGACTAGTGACAGTTGCAAAAGAGGAATCCGTCAGGAGCTATTAACAGTTTAATTGGTACGCTTTTATGAAGAAGTGGGTTTTTAACGATTTTTTGAAGGAGTGGAGACTGAGTGTGCATCTAACGGAGGAGGGAAGCGAGTTCCACAGGAACGGTGCAGCCCTCGAGAAATCTTGAAGGTAAGCATCAAAGGTGGGAGTACGGACAGAAGATAGACGTAAGTCTACAGCAGATGGTTAGGGTCTAGACGGGACATACTTGTGTATAAGTGAGGATAGATAGGTGGGAGCAGCATTATGCAGAGATTTGAAGGCAAGAACCAGAATTTTAAATTGAGCTCTATATTTTATAGGAAGCCAATGTAGGGACTGACAGAAGGGTGAGGCATGGGAGGTACGGGTGGACAGGAAGATGAGCCTCGCCGCCACATTCATTATGGACTGTAACGGCGCAAGTTGGGAGCACGTAAGACCACTGAGAAGCTGATTACAGTAGTCAAGGCGAGAAAGGACAGTGGAATGGACCAGCACCTTAGTCGCGTCTGGCGTTAAGTAGGGGCGGATGCGCGCAATGTTTTTGAGATGGAAATGACAGGATTTGGCAATAGATTGAACATGAGGCTTGAAGGAGAGGTCGGAGTCAAAGAGAACACCTAGGCAGCAAGCCTGCGTGGTGGAGCTGATGGTAGTACCGTTGACATGGAGGGAGACAGACACAGGAGTAACAACACTTGAGGGAGGAAAGACCAGAATTTCAGTTTTGGTCAATTTTAGTTTAAGGAAGTGGGCAGCCATCCAGTTAGAAATAGCAGAGAGGCAGTCAGATACACTAGTCAAGAGGGACAGGGAGAGATCAGGAGAGGACAGGTAGATTTGTGTGTCATCCGCATAGAAATGATATTGGAAGCCAAAGGAGCTAATGAGTTTACCAAGATAGGCAGTATAGATGGAGAACAGTAGGGGACCAAGGACTGAACCTTGGGGGACACCAACAGAGAGGGGTTGGGGGAGAAGAAACAGAGCCAGAGAATTAGAGCCAGACACCACACTTCCCAGGGACCTGATTTCACAGGCCGGAGATTTAAACATAAACTTGTGACTGCATGTATAACTGCCTGTGTCTGTATGACTGTCTATGCATTTTACTGTATGTATGTCTCTGTATGCTTCTTTATGTCTGTATGTCTCCGTATTACTATGTTTCTGTATGCCTGTGTCCTCATATATATTTTAATGTTGGTGTCTGTATGTCTCTGTATGACTGTGTACCTGCATGTGTAGATTGTATGACTATGTGCTTGTATTTTTGCGCCTGTGTACATTTGATTGTGTAACTTTTATGACTATGCCTGTATGATTGTGTCTTTGTCCATATGTGTATTCTTGTCTGTATAGCTATTGTCTATATAGGAGAAAGACACAAAAAAAGTCTGGGAAAAAGAAAGATACAGAAAAGTGGCTGGCGGGTGGGGGGAGCTAGAGGGGAGTATGGCAGGCACAAGAGGGTTGTAAGACTAAAAGAGACATGACATTCAAGAGAGGAGATATTAAACACTAAAAGAGGTAAGTAATTCAAAAGGGGGGTGACGAGATACAGAAGTGTAGATGCATTTTTTTTGGGGGGGGTTGCAAATTGCATCTTCGTCTGTGTAACCAAAAATCCTGCCGCCATTGGCCCGCTCCTCTCATCGCCTCCCCCGTGATATTTGTGCACGAGCAGCCGCACCTTCTGCCTCCCTGTAGTTATGCCACTGATCTCAAAGATGCATTGAGTTTATTTTAGCAATCTCTTCTCTATGCAAACATACTTATTTACTTTCAGTTTTTCTTTTGAAAACAAGCTTTGGTGTATGAAGCACTTACAATTAAAATAGACAAACATTTAACAGTAATAAAACACATATGACTTACAGGAACAGTGGGTGAAGATTGCCACATCCATACACGACTCCGTACCTACGTTTATACTGGGAATGATTGCCAGCTTGTTAGGCAAAACATTTCTCTGCCAGAAACCCATTCCGTCTAATGTTTGACAAACACCTTTATTTTAGAAATACAGGTTATGACTTTATTTGCATGTGAGCATAATGCTCACACAGACTTTTTTTTTTGATTATGTGGTCATATTTAATAAGCTGTATTGCTAGTAATTCCGTCAGGGTACTTACAAATGCCTACAAGCAAAGTATAAAACGTTTATCTTTTTGTCACATCTACTTAATGTGAATTATGTTAGAATTTTGCTTTTAAATTGTATTCAGTCTAAATCTTTTCATTCCCCAATATTTTTTAAAAAAGAATAAAAAGAAAAGCTGTGTAAGTTTACCTAATTTATTTTGTTTGTCTGAACTACAATCTATAAAAAAAATAAAAAAAATTGCAGTTTTATCAAATTTTTACATTATAACTATGCATCAACTAAATGTTACACTAAAATTTTAAAAACTAAAAATGCCCTCCCCTTCGTAATTGTAACCAGACAAGTTTGACGCACAGGAACAGAGGGGTTGAGGGCCCGCTCAATGTGCTTACATTTGGAGGGAGTGGGGTATAGTGACACAAAAGCAAAGGATATTATTAGGGAAGTAGATTGGTAGAACACTGAATACAGTGTGTGTGTTTTATTTTTTTAAATGACAGTTGCAAGAGAGGAATCAGTTGGGAGCTATTAACAGTTTAATTGATACACTTTTGTGAAAAAGTGAGTTTTTAATTTTTTTTTTGAACAGGTGGAGACTGGTTGTGCTATAATGTGTTCCTTAACTGACTGACAGCCCCGAGTGCCAGGTTAAGAGCTAAAGTGAGTTTTACGGTTTTAAGTTGAGAGGTTAGGGTGCAATAAGAACCACATAAAGTGACCCTTTAAAAATATCTATTGTCATAAAAATAATAAACTTATATTTAGTACTAGTGGACATATTTTCACAGGCGTTTTCAAATTCCAGTGACACTAATGGAGTTAAGGCCCATGCAATAATGAAAGGGGAAACAGGAGCAATCCAACGTAACTTGCTATAGGGAAGTAGAACTTTGAATTGCACTGGGCTTGATGTAATTAAAGAAATCTCGGTACTATTAGCATATGGTGGAGGGAGATAAAAGAACATTTAGCAATAGGAAAAAAAAATAAATAAATAAAATTCAGTGCAATAAATGTGAGAAAGAAAATGAAATGGTAATGTAGGAAAAAAAAAAAAAAAAAAAAATTACCTTTAAATCAATAGCAAGGCAAGAAAACTTTAAAAGGATCGGCACAGGTACCTGGGCAACTTTCATTTCCAGTTGAATCTCCAGCTAACAACTATCTCAACATATGTATTGAAACCGGAGCTCACGAGAAATTACAAGTAGCTTATTCACTAAACAGTGAATTGTAGTGGATTTCACTATTTGCTAGATTGAAGCCATTGTAAAGGGAAGGATAACAAACAGTACATATGCTCTGCAATGACGTTTATATTACCACAATATTAAAGGAACAATATGGGCACCATAATAACGTTATTGAGATTAAGTTGATGTGGTGCTAGATGGTCCCCTTACTTACCTGTAGAGGTTTAAACCGTTCACAAATGGTTTATCAAATTAAAACTTCAAAATGGGAGCCTAGAACAGCTGCCAGTATAGGAGCCACTGATTAGGTGAGAGCACCAGCTGACCACACAAAGCCAAATTAGCAGCACCCCTGACTGCTGCATCCTTCTGTTCTGAAGCTGGTCAGCAAGCCGAGCGATCTGGGGCTAGAGAGGAGACTTTGGGGTTAAACCGTTCGTAAACAGTTTAACCCTGAAGGTTAGCCAGCACCAGGGACCTCCTGGCACCATAAACACCTTAATTTCAATAAAGAGGTTATGGTGCCCAGAGTGTCCCTTTAACCCCTTAAGGACCAAACTTCTGGAATAAAATGGAATCATGACATGTCACACGTCATGTGTCCTTAAGGGGTTAATGCACTACGGCTAAAGTAGAGATACTAAGTTAGAGGCATCTTTCCCATAAAATGACTTGCATTTGAAAGGGTGTTGCATCATTCACAGACAATTGTAACATTCATTTACCTGATCGTAAACCACATTCAAGAACCAATTGTAAGACAGCAAAACCATTTAGCTTGACAACACATTTTGGACTTCCTGGAGAAACCAATTGCACATGTATTGTCTGGTTCTCATCAATAAAGTACACAGTGGATGTCAAATGTCTGCACACCCATATTGAAACAGTGCTTTTGACGATTAAAAGCAGAACAATACTAAGCATCTTATTGGTTAATGATAGAGATCGAGAGAGATATGACAACTTTTTGAGGAACACTAACAACCATTATTAAGAAATTGGGGAAATTTACAGAACTATGGCATTGTAAAAGATCAGGATGTTCCCAAACTGTTAACTGGGGCCAAACCATAACCTTAATGGATCTACAAGAAAATACAGCATGAGGAGGACACACACACACACACTACATGCATTTGGGATACACTACAAAATATGAGGTTTGCAAATATGAGGTAGAAGCTATGTTTACGAGGACTCTTTAAGCCTCACAAATTTTGCAAGAAGACTATTGCAAAAATTTTTGTTTGTAAGGCCAACACAACTTATTCCCCTTCGAAATAATACCGTAACAAGAGCAAACGTGCTTTATCGGAACGGATAACGGACTAGAGAAATTAATTTTCAAGTAAAAATAGGCTGGTCATTTTTTCCCCCCAATTTCAGATTCTCCATTTTTTTGTATTGAAATTTGTAATTCTCTGGTTGTCATTTGTAAACGAATCAGGTTTTAAATACATTAAACCATTACAGAAGTGGCATATTTACAAAACCAAGACAGAATACTTTTATTTTGTACTTATTTTTCCAAGAAACAAGTGCAATTTATGGTTGATTACAATATCTAACTAGAGGTGAAGAAGAAAAATGAAAATACATTTTTTTAATTTTTTTTTTAAATAAAGAGAAAAATAAAACAAAAAGTCTGCCATGATTAATTTAGACATAAACCTTTATACATCAAGAAACAAGCAGCTGTGAATTTAATAGAGATGTGTAGAACTGAAATCCAAGATATTTTCAGCAAACAGCTAACATTTGAACATGACAAAATTACATTATGACTATAAAACATACAATACGAAATGCTATAAAAAAAAACAAAAAAAAACAATTGCTTTCAATGGAGAGGTAGCCAATCGTTCTAACTTTACAGGAATTCAGCATTTAAGCAAGCATTTATAGACAATAAGGTTAGGTTATCAATACTTCACCCCTCACAAGTTTAGGAATGTTCTATTCTACACGGGGCAAGGTATTCGCTTTGATTATTTAAAAGTCACAAGTAGTACAATACATTTTGTTGTTTTACTTCCGGTTCCAAAATCTAAAATGAAAGGTGAAAAGTTTGAGGAAAGCCTCTTACGGGTGAAGAGAACTAGCAAGGCACCTTCTTCTACCACGGGTGAGGATCTGCTAATATTTGAATACATTTTATTTTGCAGTGACATGTTCCAGTGCTTATGATGATTCTTCCTTCTGATCAGCGGAATCCTTTTTGGCCTCTTCATACACTGGTTCGGCTTCCGGCTCGCCAGGCTCCTCACCATCTGCTACTTTGGAGTTCGGAACCCAAAGTCCTGAGTCAATACACTGCTTCATATAATACCGAGCTTCCTGTAGAAGAAAAAAGGACACACAAATGATATCTGTGTATATGCACAAAAAAATGTGTTAAAAAGGAAACATGTCCAGTATGAGTTTATGAATAAATATAAAGTGTTAGATGATCCACTGCACAACCTCTCCAAATTGTAAATAAGGAGGAGATCAGCATACCAGGACCATGGCTACTGCCTCACAAATCATCAAATAACAAAATGTAGATAAGCAACATCAAAAATATTGTATAGTGAAATTTCTATTCCAACATCATAAAGAGTATGGCTATTTTTTTCGGTATGAGTTTATGGGATAATTAGTTTATCCCCAGCATTAGTTCCATTCATTGGGTAAGCATGTACAACGCAGACAACATGTATACCAAGGAGCCAGAACCAAGCATTCCAGCTGTCTGATTGGCAGTTCTGGTTGGCCGGCTTTCAGCTACAGTGATCTTTACAAACCTTTCCAAGACACCCCCAAAACGGAGAATGGGTGTAGGGTACTCTTTGCACACAGAAGGCAACATATGAGTAAGCACCATAAACAGGTTTGAAAAGGGTTATGTTGCATTGTTTGTTTGACAGCATTATGTGACTTTTTTTGCATTGCTGCTTTCATTTTATCTTTAATCCAAGAAAAGGGACACTAACTGGATTATTACTACTGGATCTTGCATTCCAACTGGGAAAATAGAAGTCCAATTTTTTGGTTGTAATATTGTATATAACAATAGAATTCTGCAGAACACCCACATTATGCTCTATAACACTGTAAAATAAGTCTCAACTGCCTCGGGCAATGTAGTGCTGCAATATTAATACGTTTATTATGGGGAGTTGGCTGAGGTCTGATCAATATAATAGTTCTGTTCCAACCAAGGGATGCCATACTGAAACCGCATAAGGTTCTAATTATTGGAGATTCATTTAAACAGGGTGGTGGTCCAATAATATTATATTGACAATATAGGCATAAAAACAACTGCAACTTAATGGAGCGGCTTTGGCGTATAGACCACGCCTCTGCAGTTTTAGCTCTCAATTCTTTGTCATTTAGGAGTTAACTCAGTTTGTTTATGCATCCCAAGTCACACCTCCCTGCATGTGACTTACCCAGTCTTCCTAAATACTTCCTGTAAGGAGTCATCTAATGTTTAAGCTTTCTTTATTGTAAATTGTGTTTAATTTAGAATGTATTACCTCCTGCTCTGTTAAATGGCCTTCTAGATCCTGCAGAAGCCCCGTGTGTGATTAAAGATCAACTCAGAGGAGAGGATAAAAGCATCTAAAGCAAGTAAACATCTGATAAAAAAATGAACTGATTTTTTTTCCATGCAGGCTGTTTGTCACAGCCAGGGGAGGTGTGGCTATGGCGGTATTAAGAGAAACACAAGTGATTGAACTTCTAAATGGCAGATTATGGAGCAGTGAAAATGCAGGACTATGACCCTTACCACAAAAACAACTTCTTCATTAATCTTAAAGTTGTTTTGGTGCCTAGTGTCCCTTTAACCCCTTAAGGACACATGACGTGTGACATGTCATGATTCCCTTTTATTCCAGAAGTTTGGTCCTTAAAGGGTTAAGGCCAAGACCAATCCAGCTTTATTAGTGGATGTGGGTGATAGCAATGATACTTTTTAGGAGTACAGGCCTACTCTGTACTAATCAAAATAACTTCAGTCAATTCCCTCCACCATAGTCAGTAACAGAATTAAAGGACATCAAACATTGCACAATCGTTGTAAAGTCCAACTTACAGTAGGATTCATTTGGCTGATTGTGTCCTGTAACATCTGGATATCTTTTGAATCGAAGCATTTCTGGAGAGCCTGTGAATAGAAAATAAAGGAGGAATACACGTCCCATATGCAAGACAGTGTACATACCACACTTAACCAGAAGGTGGCAGTGCAGAGCAGTATATTTTGTTATATAAGCTGGAGAAAACGTCCTATATAGGTCGAGTACAGAGATGGCCAAAAGCTTGATCTTAAATTTAACTACAATTCCCATGAATCACTGCCGGCAAATGATCTACCTTTGAGCCACTCTTAGCTGTGCACCAGAAGACTCCCTTTTACTTTAACAGAGACAAGGTAGGAATACATTGTATATGCACAGAATTTTTTTCAAACACTAGACTAAAGAGCTTACTCTCTGTCTAATAGAGAGATCAATATATACCTAAAAGACAGACAAAACCATCCAATCCCGGACATTAAAAATCAAGTCACAAACAGTATTGTTGTGCGCGAATAGAGGGAAACGGGTCTGAGACAAGACCAGTGGTTAATCAGAATGAGTTTTTGATGCAGGGGTTAACCTAAAATCATTAACCACTTTAGCATACAGACCCAAAACAAATCTCTTGATATCATGAAAATAATGGCAAAGGTTAATACACAAGTTAAAATAATTATTAACACTGCGCTTTAGTCAAGAAATCTGATGTGAGAGAAGGATAGGGTTGTCTGTCTCTTGGATGCCCTAAGTAAAGGAGAACTATAGTGTCAGGAACACAAACGTTTATTCCTGCCACTATGGTCCCAAAAAAAAAAAAAAAAAAAAATTAAAAAAAAAAATTCACAGTTTACACCCCTTACCTGGGGTTAGAAAGAGGATTTACTCACCTATTTCAAGCGCCACGCTGGGCTCCTTGCATCTCACCCCACTCCCGATCCGCCTACTTGGCTGACATCAGAATCTCCACCCACTGCATAGAGACGCTGAACGTTAGCCATAGAGATGAACTGATTGAATGCATCTCTATGGAGAGAAGCTAATTGGCCAGGTCTGTGTTTGGCTCTGTCCCTGCTCCACCTCCTTGGCAGAGATCATCAGAATTGATGATCTCAGCCAATCCAATGCTTTCCTATGGGAAATAGTCAGTCCCTGCAGGCTCTTTAATGCAAACACTGCCTTTTCAGAGAAACCATTACAGCCCAGGAACACCTCTAGTGGCCACTCCTCAAACGGCCACTAGAGATGCTTCTTGGGTCACCAAAAAGCCCCTCTAGTAGCCATTTAAGGAGTGGGTCATGCTCTGACTCGTCAAGCTTGCAGTGGAAAGTAACATTTTTAGGCCTGGCTAGTAGCACTTAAATTCCTTTAAAGGACACTGGAGGCACTAGGGATAACATATTGTGTTCCATCATTTAATGGATACAGGATACAGGAATCTATACAGTTATAGAGTTTCGATTCTGGAATGGTGTAGACATGTGTTTTCTTTTCCTGATGGTCTAAATAAAGAAGCTGTCTTCATGAAGCCACGGTTCAGCAAGAGGTCACCAAAGAGTGATTACCAGGTTTAGGCTTACTACACAGTGTCATCTATCAGGTTAAAGGGACACTATAGTCACCCAGACCACATCAGCTCAATGAAGTGGTCTGGGTGCCAGGTCCCTCAGGTTTTAACCCTTCAGATGCAAACATAGCAGTTTCAGAGAAACTGCTATGTTTACATTTGGGGTTAATCCAGCCTCCCGGAAAGCCACTAGAGGCGCATCTGCGACGCTGGGGGCACATTTCGCCTCCATCGCGCAGAGCGTCCATAGGAAAGCATTGAGAAATGCTTTCCTATGGACACTTTGAATGCCCATTCGCCTCCGCTGATGTCAGACGGGGAACTGACGTTGGAGTGGTAGGAGAGGTCACCAGCGCTGAGGGAACCCGGCACTGGAATAAGGTAAGGTTCAGCGCCACGGGTGGGGGCACCCTCAGGGCATTATAGTGCTTTGTTTTCCTGACACTATAGTGATCCTTTAATGCTTACTACACAATGTCTGAAGTCATGCTACTCAAAGCACCGAACATCTGGGAAATTACTTACAGCAGGAAGCGTTTCATAGACCTCAACTGGGTCGAGTCCCCCTGGCCCAAGTCTCTTCTTCTTCTCCTCTTCCTCATACTCTTTCAGGGCTTTCTCTATCCGAATTTTGGCTCGTTCTTTCACTCTGCCTTTGAAAGATTCCAGTTCGTCATTAAAAGCATCCATGTACTGCTGATCGGCAGTCTGTGGGTGAAAGGACAAGTGTGATTACAAGGATGCAAAATTTACTCTAAAGCTACGTTCCATAATCACATTCAACACTAAATCCAGTAATGTCAACAACTCCCAGATTAACATGTAGTATTGGATTACTCTTGGCTACTGAAAGCTTTGGCCGATCACGTTTTCTAGTTACTCTATACTGGGATAGCGGACATTTAACTGCACAGCTGTTGTTACTCTTCTGCTCCCACGTATCACATTCACAGAGGCTTCAGATCAACAGTTCGGTCAACCCAGGTCCACACTTACACTGAAAGTCCATGACCCTCACAGATAAACAGTCACAATGCATCATCTCACACTTTAGACAGGCCTTGATCCCAAAGACCATAATCACAAGCACGAAGAATGAGCTCAGAGGGGGGGCTTAAGATACAACTCTCCTCTTCTGTTTGAGAGTGTGTTACACTTTGAGATTATCATAATGCCAAAAGAACATACTTAAAGAGTCAAAAAGGAGAGAAACCCCTCAACAAAACAGAACACTGCAATCTAACCCACTCAGAACCATAAGTGAAAGGGCACTTTACCTTTCTTAATCAATAATACCAACAATATTTAGGAGAAAAGCACCGTTGTGTACGTATCTGGCCATATTTACAGAGTGTCAACATTTATACGCATTTTCTTTTTTAATATTTAAAAGGAACACTATAGTGCTATGAAAACAAACAAGTGTTCCTAACGCTATAGTACTACTTTACATACTTAGATGTGGGGTTAAAATGCAAGTATTCTTACATTTACTTCTTTGCCACGCTAGTTACACCCTGCCTGCTTCGCCTTTCTGGCTGAGATCATCAAGACTGATAATCTCGGCCAATTCAGTGCTTCCCCATAGTCATGTGCTAGTGTGCGTTTCCCAGAAAATCACCACGGTGCATGAATTAAATGCGGCACTAGGAGCTGCATTTGATTGAGAACCAGGTTTGACTCAGTTCACAAAGTGAAGCACTTCTAGTTATGGTGAGGAAGGCAGACACTAGAGAAGTGTTAAACCCTGCAATGGAAACATTGCAATTTCTACAAAAACTACCAGGTTTTCTGACTCAGAGAAGTGTTTACGAGACACTTTGTTAAGCCCTTAAGGACACATGACATGTGTGACATGTCATGATTCCCTTTTATTCCAGAAGTTTGGTCCTTAAGGGGTTAATTTGCTCCTTAACATCACAATACAGTTTTGCTTTCAGAGAGGACCGATAATGTTGGGATGGTTATTCCCTAAAATGCGAAGTATCAGGAATTCAAAGCGTTTCACATTTTAGGCCAAAATGTTAAACTGAAAACATAGCTGACTTTATTCAATTCTGCGAATATGATCTGAATTTTTTTTTTCCCCTCCTTTGAATTTCCAACAAGTCACTCTTGAGTGAATAATCCCATCAGTATAAAAATATGTGCTTTAAGAGTGGAACTCAATGTAATTTTAGGTTTTCTTGTTAATATTAGAGACATGATCACCACAGCATGATTATTAATGGTGCAGGGGATTTTACTATATTGATTAGGAAATATATATCTCCATTTATAGTGCATGTATTTTTTACAGGAATTGAATATTACATGTAGGAAAAATATTTTATGCTCTTTAAGAATGTATATATTGTGGTATTCTGGTGCCTCATTATCGTGTTATGGAACGCACAGCTGATTCAGCTTTGCGTCCCGATAATATGGAGGTGGGCTCTGAGAACGCAACGTAACGAAGTTTGGAACGCACGTTGCGTTCCAGCGACATCATTACCAAAATCCGGAAGTGAAACCGCGAATCCGGAAGCGGAATTATAAATCACAGCCGCAGTTGGAACGCATGATGCGTTCCAAAGAGAAATCAGCCGGAACCCGGAAATAAAGATACACAGGGGGATAAATGAACATTCACTTATACCGATTGAAAAAGCCCCCGGAGGGGCGAAATGCGTTTCGGTTTCCATTGAACTATATAGCCATTTGGCAGGACTTACAAATATAGTACATAGCTATATATTTTGTATTTTCGTTTATTTTTTTAAATAATGAAGTTTTATTATCTTTTTTATATACAATAAAAGTACTTTTTTATTAAGATCCACATTGGATTCTGGACCTCATTCCAATTTGAACAACCAACAGCTCATGTGGAAGTAGGAGGGGGACATCCTTTTGAATAGTCCCAAGGCGATATTCATGGGAGCCATATGAGATTTGGCTCCAGGCTTGTGAGTACCAGACTTCACTTCCTCAATATTCCATTTACCAGACAATATCACACTATTACGTGTTTTGTTTATCTCTTTCAGACGTATTTTAAGTGTGACCAACCCTCTACATTGTATGTATTTGTTTTCTATTTGTTGAGTGGTGTAAGGGGTTTCCACTCAGGGGGTTTATAGCTTTATAGCTATCACACTGCATTTTATTACCTTGCTGTATATATCTGTTTTTTGCATTTCAAACTCCCAGTTTAGTTTATTTATTAAACTGGGAGTTTTCGCTTGTTGACAAAAAAAAGAGTTGTAAAATTTCATATCACAAGCTCTGACAAAAATTTAAACATCTCACTGAAGGAATTAGGGAGACAATACTAGGAGAGAACTAGGACCTTAAAGCGGTCAGTTTATTCACTTCTCACACTGTTGAAGCCAGCATTTCTCACAATAAAACTAAAATTATGCCCAAAAAGAAGATTTTCACTCTCGTCCCTCCCCACTATAGACTCCCTCACGAATTGCCCTACCAACTCACCCTTTGTTCCGTCCCGTTACAGCCTTTTGGAGCCAGCCGGAGTGACTTACTCTACCAGCAGGAGTTACGGACAATACCTCAGGAACGTTTTATCCCGGTCAGTTAGAGAGGTTTTTTACCCCCCTTTCCCAAAGAGCTAGGAAGGCTCTCTTTTGAGGTTAAGTTATACCCCTCCTCCTCAACAAATCGCTCTCTGTAAGAAGGAGGAGCGCCCTTTTCTCAAGTCTGCTGGAGCCCCTGGTAAGAGACCGAGACATGGCAGCGCCTGCATGGAACTATTTTCAGTCAGGACTTTAATAGCAGTCAGGCCAATGTTTAACCGAGTGACGGTTGGACAATCCTCCATGAACCCAAGCGCTACAGAATGGGTGCTCGGATCCCACCTTTCATGGGATATGTAACTTGTGGGGGTACATTGTTGTTTTATGCTTGTTTTCAGGGTATTTTGTGTTGCCTCTTCTGTATCCAGGAGATAATTAGTTTACAGAGGTCCAACTCTCTCTCTCAGACACAGGTTATAACACACTTTCACTCTGCGGGACTAGGGAGACTCTTCAGCAGATCTACTTAGCCGGAGTATAGGGGGATCCGTTACAAAACCCTGCTCAAAAGCCACAAAAGATAACCAAGCTATACATTCAATAACATACGCACCTTAATCTTGGTGAAGAACTGTCGGAAACACGCTCTAGGGTCCACTTTCAAGCTTTTTGCCAGCTCTAGAATAAATTGCATAACTATAGTTTGATGGGCTACCTGCTCCATTAGGGCGTGTTTCTGTTTAAGAAGAAAAATACAACATAGAATAATTAAATTAACAGCAGGCAGTTCCTGAACTACCTTGAGATGACTATTCGCACAGATTAATATCCAGACTAGAGCGGTCAAGCTGGAACAGCATCTCAGTTGGAGAATTTGCTTCACTAACCTTTATAGATTAACTTGTATAGCCCCTGATACATTTATTCACAGATTCATAGGTATGCCCCTTTTCTGTCTCTCTTCTCTACCAGTGACCTTTTCCTGTCCGCTGCATGCACCCTTACTGCCAACTCACTCTTGCAGGACTTCCCGTGGTCGGCACCCTTACATTGGAACAGCCTGCCTACCTCCATCAGACTCTCTACTAGTCTTCAATTGTTTAAGAAGTCCCTCAAAACACAACTGTTCAGAAATGCTTACTGACTCCTAGAGTAACTTATCTATATCAGTCTTTTGCTCTCCTAAAGAACAACACTCCACTTTCATCTCCAGTTCGGCTACTTTTCCACCTTGTTTGGTGGTGGTCACGCTTGCTGCCGTGACTGCAAGTTCGTTTGAGCAGGGCCCTCCATCTACCCATTATTCCTGTGTCACAGTGTAATAGTCTCATTTGTTGTTACAATTCCCCCTTTCATAATATTGTAAAGCGACGCGGAATTAGTTGGCACTATATAAGTAACAACAACTTTAAACCTCTTTTATTCACCAGTATATACTGTTGCCATCTTCCTCCTTACTATTAGATCACTTTAATTTTGTTGTAGATATAGAAGAATAATTGAAATAATAAAAAAAAACAGTCCATTCAATATGAAACAATTATCTACTGATATCTGATCTACTAACTTCATAAATAGAAAATCTAAAAAAAAACTAAAAACCCCAAACCTAAAAAAAAAAACAAAAACAAAAAAAAACAAAAGCCAGCCTAAAATTATTAAACTATTTGTTAATTTTCCTCACCTCTTCCACTTCCAGATCAATGCACCATATGACAAGGTAATTAGCAGTTTCTTCGCACACTAGGTGGGGGTTATCTGATAAGTATTTTTGACTGTCGTCCCATCGGTGCAGCATTCCTTGTGAAGGTAGAAAGGAGAATTAGAGAGGAGACGCTACACAATCCAAACAGTGTCCCAAAAAACAGGATGACCACCTTTTCATCTTGGCACAGAAACGTATTTGAAACCCATGCATTGTGAGAACATAGACATGGAATCTTGCTGTAATTATCAGGACTACAAAATATAGATAAATAGAATGTGTTTATAAGCCAGTGTGGGTTCGTACTTTCTGTACCAAGACCAATTCCGGGGTCATTTTATAAAAATTTAGCAATAATCAGTACATTCCACTGGTATCTATACTTTGCAATAGCCGTTAAAGGGCACGTGTCATGCCACAAAGAATTTATGCTCATTAAATTGAGCATAAGATTTTATCTATACATTACATCGTTACATAGGCTGAAAAGAGACAAGTGTCCATCAAGTTCAGCCTTCCTCACTTTTGATTTTTGCTGTTGATCCAAAAGAAGGCAAAAAACCCAGTTTGAAGCGCTTCCAATTTCGCAACAAAACTAGGAAAGATATTCCCTCTTTACCCCAGAATGGCAGTCAGATTTATCCTTGGATCAGGAAGCTATTACCCTACATTGAAAAATTACATAATTGAATATTTTGTTTTTGCAAGTTGCTGTTTAAACAGCTGTACATCTTTTTGGATGTCTCTCTGCTCTCCTTTCATAGCAACCACAGCACATGCACTGTGGTTGCTATGAAAACTCCCTAGCCGATATTTTAGGCTGGCTAGGGAGTATAGGAACGGAGTTACATGACTTTACTCCGTTCTGACAGCAGCAAGCTCGCAATGCCGAAGTCACTGACTAGATTTATCCTGCTTGGGGATGCGTCCTAAGCAGGGTTTAAAAAACAAACAGAGGTGAAGCGGAGGAGGAGCAAAGAACAGTCCAGAGGTGGGTGTTACAAAGAGCGCTGGAGAAAAAGTGAGTAAATCTTTAAATTTTAGATTTTAACATCATGTATCTGTAGGACAGCTGGTGTATTCAGTGTATATGGGAGCGATTTAAGGTAAAAAAAAAATCCGTTACAGGTTCACTTTAAAGGGATCCTATAGTGCCAGGAAAACAATCCCATTTTCCTGGCACTATAGGCTCTTGTAGTGCCCCCCTTCAGCCACTTACCTGAATCCAGGCTCTGCCTACGCTCCTCTCCCACCGGCTGACGTCGGCAGGGGGGGGGGAGGGGGAAGAGCTAATGCGCATGCGCGGCAGTAGCCACACACGCGTTAGACCTCCTCATAGGAAAGCATTATTGCTTTCCTATGGGGAAAATCTGACATTGGGGGTCCGTGAGGACGTCCAGCGTCAGATAGCAGACCAAAAGTCTGTTATGATTCCGGCTGGTAGACAGCCACAAAGAGCAGACTTAGAGCTGCAATATAATCATTGCAGCAAAGTGCAAAAGGGACATTGCACCCAGACCACTTCCAACCGCATAAACCCCTCTTCCACCCCCCCCAAAAAAAAAAACAAAAAACAAAAAAAACAAAACCCGCAATTTTAACAAATATTAAGGTTACAAAGAGAAAACATTTTTTTATAGTTTAACCACTTAAGGACCAAACTTCTAGAATAAAAGGGAATCATGACATGTCACACGTCATGTGTCCTTAAGGGGTTTAAAGAAAGTTTGCCTTTCTAATTTCTGATCTGATTTCATAGAGATAACAGAACTATAATTGTTAAAGCTCCTTCAAACTCTTGGTGCAGAAACGCCATAGAATAAGCACAAATCCTGTAGGTAGGGAATGAAACAAAAGCAACTCCCAGCCTAAAGAAAGACCTTAGTCACCAGCTGCTTTAAAAACAAAGTGAAAACAAGGAAGTAATTAGAAACGTTCTCTTGAAAGCAATTTAAAAGGCATGCCAACAACCACAATCACATCATACAGTTGTTGTAGAGGTTATGGTTCAATTAATCTTGCAGCAACTAATCCCCTGGTTTTTGTAAACATCTGAAAACGGTTTGACAGAAACATGACGTGTTTAACCATAACCACTACAATAAGCTATGGTGCTTAAACAGTCCCTTTAAAAATGGATGGGAAAATCCATTCTACAAATGGGAGCACTTTATTCACTTATCGAGAAGTCTAGAAAAGGTTTCAGTTCTGGACCCTGTCTCAGAATCATTTTATAGATTCACTAAACCAAAATGAAAAAAGAAACTCTCTTACCAAAATGTTTTAGTTGCTTCAAGTTTTTTTCCACAAATGTTTTGTGTTTCTGTTCTTTTTGTTCTTCCGAATCCTCTTTCTTTTCGTCTTTGACATTGAAAACACTCTGTTGGCAAAAGTAACAAGAGTTGGTACGATTGTAGTTCAGGAACGATCGGCGGAGACGTTTGATAATAGGTCATATGCATTGCAGGATTTTGCCATTTGGCCACAAAAGGGTTAAAAACAATATATTAATAGAAAATTATAGGGCCAGGAATATAAACATGTCTTCCTGACCCTATAGTGATAAAAAAAAAACAAAAAACAAAAACACAAAAACCCCCCCTCCCACTATTTAGCCCCCCCCCCAAAAAACACTCCACTTTATTTTAGCTCTGCGCAGGTCAGTTGGCGCTGGCCCTGCCCATGATCCGCCTACTTAGCTGATATCAGAATTGATGATCTCAGCCAATTCAATGATCTTCAATAGAAAAGCATAGGATTGGCTGATATTGTTAATTCTGATGATTTCAACCAAGGAGGCAGGGCAAGGGGCAGAGCCTAACACCACCCTGGCCAATCGGCATTGACCCAGAGATACATTAAATCAATTAATCTCTGTATGAGGAAAGTTCAGTCTCTCCATACAGAGCTTGGAGATGCTGTACGTCAAGTGCAGCACTGCCCCAGGAAGAACCTCTAGTGGCTGAGGAGAGGCCACTGGAGGTGTCAATAGGCTGTAATGTAAACACTGACTTTTCTTTGAAAATGCCCACAGGAACAGGTTACAGACACCAGAACAACTAAATTAAACTGTAGTTCTGGTGACTATGGTGTCCCTTTAAGGACGGGGACACACACACACCTCCTCTAAATAACAGATGCTGAACTTGATCTTCACGCCAACTACAATCCATGATCAGAACTTCCCAATAAAAACAGCAGAAGACCTCTGCTTGAGTGCAGTTCACATAATTGATGTACAGCTGTGCACACAGCTAGTCCTTAAATGGATACTCCAGGCACCCAGACCACTTCTGCCCATTGGAGTGTTCTGGGTGCCAACTCCCACTACCCTTAACCCTGCAAGTGTAATTATTGCAGTTTTCATCTATCAGACAGCCACTAGAGGGACATCCGTGTTCTTAGAACATGAGAAGTGTTTTAAGCAACGCTGGACGTCCTCACGCTATGCGAGGACCTCCAGCATCACTGAATTTCCCATAGGAAATCATTGAATAGGAAGAGAGTAGGCAGAGCCTGACCAGCGCTGAGGGACATCGGTGCTGGACTCCTTCAGCAACTTAGGATGGGGGGTGGGAGATAGAGGGGCACTACAGGATCCTGCAGTGCCAGGAAAACTAACATGTTTTCCTGGCACTGAAGAATCCCTTTAATCCTGTGTAAGAAGCATTACAAACGTGCATTCAATGCCACATGTTTACATGCGCAGTGCTATTACAATTTATTTCAATGGGAGACTAGGAATTGGCTGAGCGAACTCTAGATCTTTCAAGATAACAACAACAACAACAACAACAACATAACCAGATAATTGTATTTGGGAGTAAATTTGCCACAAAAAAAATAAAATAAAAAAAATAGTAGTATATTACACTGCATGGTTTTACTTACGATGTAAAATATGCCTAATTCTACCAGGGAGACGTCAATGCCCCACTCCCTTCTCGCACCATGTGCCAAAATAGCCAATGATACAGAGAACAGGTTCTCTCTTTGAAAAAGGCAGTGGTGCCAAAATTAGAGAGAGAGCCTAGGGTTTAATAGTTTTAGCCAAGGTAACACATTTTACCATTAAACTTATTGTGCGTCAACCTAGATTTCTTTTTATGTTTTACGTTTTAATTATATTATATGCTCATTCATGAGATGATCAGTTATATATACTGTAAAGATTAAGTTAATGCCCCACTTCGCTTGTACTTGTTAAGCTTTTATAATAACACTAAACTTATAACCATTATTGTAGCAACAATTACTTTTACAATCATTATTTGACTGCAGTGGACATGTTTTGTAGCTGAACTACATATCCCATAAATCCCCGCGCTGCTTAGAGGTAATTATGAGATCCCACCAGAGTCCAGATTGAAAGCAAGTGGTCAAACTGAAGACAATGCAAATATTGGGCTTTTCAGCATATGACACATGTTCAATGAAGAGTACATATTTTACGTATAGATTAAAGCATTATCTTCATATTGCTCTGAAATGTGGTGGGAGGGGCGAGAGACATATCCTGCCAGGAGTGTCCTTTTAAACATTTAACATTTTTATCAACCCAAATGGCCAGCACTGCCCACCACTTCACCTTACTGAATCCCTCTTTGCTTAAGGTGTCCACATTCCACGGCATATTTTTTTCTTTTTTCCTTAGATCGTCTTCTTTCTTCTTCCAAGACTTCTCCTCCTTTTTCAGTTGCTCCAGATCACGCTTAAACTTCTCAACATCGGTTCCACCTCTATCCTGGACCTCCATTTCCTTCAGCTTCTTCTGACACTCGGATAGTTTCTTTTTGCATTCGCCTGCTCCCTTCATAAGCTCCTCTTTCTCCTTCTCAAACTGTTCCATCCTCTCAACCCGGGCCTACAAAGAAGCAAAAAATAAAAAGTAATGAGAAATTGGTATCGCTGATAAAAGATATCACTTGGATATAATATGGGAGAACTCTTTAAGAATGATAAGAAAGGTCAACCAAACCTGACTTACTGAAAACGAGCTGTTAGGCTTTATAGAAATTGCAATGGATACTTCAGGATTGATATAATCAATAACGCCAGAATTATACAAAGGCTCACCTGGTGGCGCCATCTAAATAAACTGGCCGTATCGATGTTGGGGTGAGTGTCATCTTCATCATCAGACACTTCAATATGGTCCCACACGCTGTAGTCTACCATTTTGTAGCAGGAAATGGAGAGCTGGGAGAATCACTGGTATAAAAAGGACACACAAAAAGAAAGCACACAGATTATTACTGACGCAGTAGAATATAGAATAAATCTCATATCAAGGGACCTCTTTCAGTAGGAGAACCTCTAGGCTTAAGTTCTATGTCCTCTACGATTTGATCTCCATACATCGACAATCTAAAAACTTCTCTCAAAGTTCAATATCCACACATTCGCAGTTGGCACTATGCATTTCCATTCCTGATAACCATAGTAGCTTTGGAGGTTCTGTCACTATTGCTGCTCCTTGTTCTCTGACACTCAGCCACTAAAACGACAAAACTGAATTCCTGCAAGTGATAATCCTTTTTTCTTCCCCTCAGCGACCTTACAGATTCTACTTCACTTTTACACTGTAGTTTAAGTCTAGCATCATACTATAGTTTGCATTTGCCATTTTCGAACACAAGATGCAACCAATGATTTTGCCTCTATGGTTATTATCTCCAATCTCAACACTTGCAACTCACTTTATGAATCTTGCAAACACCCATCCTGCCCCATTAGGGTCCTTCAAGGAACACTATACTGTTAGCATAACATTCTACTGCCCCTAGTTAGATCCAGATTGCCCCAATTTAAGTAAAAATCTGAATGGAGAATTTTTTTATTTTTTTAAATAAAAAAAAATAAAAAAAAAGCTTTTTACGCACATTTTTCCCCCAGCACAGACTTCCCAATCCTCTTCATAGAGGGGACTTTATGTGCAGAGAGTGTCAGGCTTGCATCCAATGCTTCTCATAGGAAAGCAGTGAATTTAAGGCTTTCTTATGAAATCCTGCATTACATGACCAAATTTTACTCTGTCAGTACAGCGAAAGCACCTCTTGTATGTCTGTTAGACAGTTAAAAAACAAAAACGTTTTACATTGCAAGGTTAAAAAAAATAAAAAGACAGGTTTTGTTACAACTACTTGTTTGTCAGTCAGTCAATGTTTTGTACAGCACTGCGGAATTTGTTGGCGCTTTATAAATAATTGTACAAACTACTATCTTGCCTTCTGGACATCCATTTTGTGCAATTCTGCTCTACTCTAGAACGTAAGCACTTTTCAGCAAGCAAAGCCCTTGTTACCTCTCCCTGCACACCTAAACGGATCATGAGTTTTGTATTATTAGTATTTATATAGAGCCAAATATCACGTGTCATTTTGCACAGGACATCTCTCAACTTACAACTTGCCGTAGCAAAAATAAATTTGCTCCATTAGCCCAAAGTGATTTCAATTGTGCATTAAACTGTGACACACAATATTCTTGTCTTAAACTCCATGACGGCAACAGTTGAAGTATTACCAATTGTAGCTCAATCTTTTACCAAAAATGTGTTATGTGATATGTTTATTTTTTTTATAACATTCCAACAACATACATTTTTCTCATTCCTTCATCCCTAAGGTTTGTTGAGCATCGCTCTTTGCAGCCTACAGTAGACCCGGAAACTCCTGATAGGCATTTCCATTAACGCTCTTGAACCTACCAGGGCCAGCTCATTGGCTAATCTTTATATTAAATTTAAAAAATACAAAATTCACTACTTTCATTGGAGGGTTAAGAACTTCATCTGCTATAACAGAGTCAAACGCAGTTTCTAGAGCAGCATTTGATTGGTTTGCTTACGCACAAGTGGAGATCAGTCTTGAAGGTCTCCGCAATGTGGGTAGAAAGGAAACTCAGAGGGCAGCATGGCTAGCGCTGAAAGGCAAGCAGACCTTGCTTTTCAAAAACTCAAACAAGACAGATATAGGAACCTATAGCGCTATTACGGTCTTACGGATAGTGATCCTTCCCAATGTAACTTGAAATCTCCAGGATGCTAAGTATTATAGCAATTTGTATTTGTAAATAGCATTCGTACAACTGGGAGGAATGCTAACCCAGACATTAAGATTATTAATTTATTTATACACACACACACACACGAGATAACATAGTTAAAGAGACACTCCAGGCCCCTAAAGCACTTAATGTGTGAAGGTTGTGTCATCTTATTTTACAAAGAGTGCAGATTTTGTAAAAGAAACTTAGCACTTTTATAAAATTAACTTTGTTACACCCCACCCTGGCTTTCAATCAGACATCCGGCCCTGTTTTTCCCTGGTAGTTTAGCTAGGTGGAGATCAACTGAAGAGGCAGAAACTGCCCAGAGCACGTGCCTTGCAAAGACTTCTCATTGGACGGCTTTAGGAAGTCTGGGCGGGGTTTGGAGGGGAGGGCTTGCAAAGGCTGCAGACAAAAGATCTGCAAGTTTTGTAAGCTGTTTACATATACCCCAATAAATAAAATGCAAAATTAAATGCATGAAATTTTTTTAACTTGTGGTATATCTACTAAACAATGTATTTTTTTTTGGTCAGTAGTATCCCTTTAAGAATTTATCATCACATTTTTATTCTACCCCCATTGGTCCTCTCCCCTCACATACTACCTGTAGTAAGATTATTGCTGTATATCAATTACAGAAAATAAACCCCAGCCCCTCTTTCTAGGGTACAGTTGTTGCTTTATTTGGCTCTGAGCCAATCAGTAGCTACCCATTCATAAAAATGTACACGCCCGTTTTGTATAAACAGGAAGCTACTGCCTTGCTTATAGCGTCAGCTGACCACTGAGCAAATCGGCAGCACCCCACGCTTCCTGAAACTGCACTGAAGAAACTGGATGCTGCTAGAGACAGGGAGCAACCTATGGGTTAAAGGGACACTGTAGGGAGCCCAGACCACTTTAGCTCATTTAAATGGTCTGGGTGCAATGCCCCATGTCCCTAAACCCTGCAATAGTAATTATTCCAGTTTCTGAGAAACTGCAACAATTACCTCTCAGGGTTAACTCCTCCTCTTGTGGCTGTCTACTAGGCAGCCTCTAAAGAGACTCCCAGAATTGAAACGGACCTTTGGTCCGTTATCTGATGCTGAATGTCCTCACGCTATGCATGAGGACTTCCAGCGTCAGATTTTTCCCCATAGGAAAGCATTGAATAATGCTTTCTATGGGGAAATCCTAATGCGGTCGTTGCCATTGCAGCGCATGCGCATTAGGCGCATGTGCGGGGCATGATCCAGCGCCGAGGGACATCGGCGCTGGTTTCAGGTGAGTGACTGAAGGGGTTTTAACACCTTCACCCGCTCGGGAGGAGGGCATTGTAGAATTCTACAGTGCCAGGAAAACGGGTTTGTTTTCCTGGAACTCTAGAAACCCTTTAACCCCTTAAGGGCACATGACAAGTGTGACATGTCATGATTCCTTTTTATTCCAGAAGTTTGGTCCTTAAGGGGTTAAACTGCATGTTCAACTCCCAGAGTGCTGGCCTGATTGACTGGCAGGCACCCTAGTGTCTTTTCATTTATACCAGGATGACCTGCCAAAAAATGTAGGCGTATTTGCTGCCTTTCCAGGCTGACCCACACCACTAGGGACAGGGAGATCCGGAGCTGGACAGCAACCTGCCCTGGGTTAAACCATTTGGAGTGCTGGCGTGATATACTGGCAGGTGTTTAACTCCTTCAGGTAAAAAAAGTCATGGACCATAACAACAGAGTTGTTATGGGGACCATACAGTTCCTCTGAATGCATTATTTATTAGGTCTCCCCTTCTTAAACAATATAAAACTAACCTGGAATGCAGCACCAGGCAGAGCCACAGGGGAGGTTGCCCTGGGTGCAATAAAAAAAAAAAAAAAGTTGTAATAAGTTTGAAAAATAGTGCATCCTCCCCCTCATACAGAAAATCCCCCAATGTTCGAACATTCTACACAGTTTTTATTTTTAACATGACAGGGCAAATAAACATTTCCACATAACATTACAGTATCTCTTGCTAATAACAGCCATACTGTCCTCAAGTAATCCTTATTAGTGAATTACATAATGCCTATAAATAGCGTGAGTTCCCATTGTAAGATACCAGCGTTAACTTTAAATGGGAAATCACGCTATTGATAGGCATTATGTATATGCCTATTAAAATGGTATCAGATTGGTACGCCGGTAATGGGCGCCTAGCCAGCCTCACTCCTCGATGTGTGTGACACTGATGGTTAGACTATACACATTACTTTAGGCTTGAGGTGAATTTGAAAAAAGCATAGCAGCTATCAGTATCACGCACATTACTGAGACGAGGCAGGTAAGGAAGGAGGAACAAGGTTATCTGGGCGCCCGTTAAGGAACTCAGAGTGCCAATGGTATATGGGTTAGGGTGTGCAATACCTGCCTTGCAACTGGAAGTCCATGCTACGCCACTGTCACCGGGCAAACTGCCTTATGCTCGTCTCCATCCAAAATTAATATTAGACAGCTTGGGACAGAGTTCCTAGCTGCTTAAGTTACATGTGTTGGGGTGTATGTACAGCATTTCAAGCAGAAACGGTGCACATATAGATTAGTACCACCATAACCACTTCTAAAAAGCAGACATTGTCACGGTGGTTGGAGTAGCCATTTAAGGATGATTCACTAATTTGAGAGCAAACTAGCAATTGCAAATCTTGCAAAATATCCGAGCTGAAAGCATCGCAGAGATTTAAAGTTTTCCTGATTTGGCTATTTTTTGTCTCTTGTGCGTTCCTGAAAATTCCCAGATTAGGGAATAGCTCAGTGTTATTTTCCAGCTCAACCATTTTAGCCTAAAAGTAATAATCTCCTTGTAATTTCTCCACAATGTCCAGTTTACAAAATAAACCCCTCATTGTTAAATACCTGTAATGACTGTAATTGTCCGCTAAAACATAAAAGTATAAATATACATTAATTTTGCAGTTTACCATTAATTACACACGTTTATAGCACAAAGCAGGAAGTATATGAGATAGAAAAGATATATTAAAAAAAACAGTAATCATATAAAGATTTTTTTTTTTTTTTTTAAAGCATCAGGAACTACATACAGCATGCCCTAAACAAAATAATACAAAATATGAAGCCAAATATTATAATCTGGTGAATTCTTTATTTAATTTATAGCCAATTGATGGTAATGGGAGTTGCAAATCTTCAACTGGCCCAGTAGAAGAGGAGAACAGCCATAATCTAATCTAAAGAGCATGCACAGTAGAGTAAATATGCAATACTTCATCTGGAACACAGTATTAAAAGCATGCATTCTAACACATTCTAATAATGCAATGTATCACACTATAAAAGGTAAAAGGGATGAATAATATATCAAGATTACAAATTAATCCCTGAATCTGGCATACCAGTGTCAGCAGCACACAGGATCCTCTGGACTCACAAGCACTCGTTTCTGGAAAGGTCTGGTACCCTCTCAATTTCCTGCCTGCCCGCCCTCTGACGTCACTTCCCCGACTTCATCACCGCCGCTCTGCCCTAAGTCTAAAGCCGCCATAGGCGAACTTCTTGCCCTTTTGCTGACGTCACGCGGCAAGGCAACGCCCAGGAGTCGAGCAGACTGGAGCCTGACCGAAAGAGAACAGCGCTCTGGCAGAAGGTGTGTGTGTGTGTGTGTGTCAACAGCGGTGGGAGGGGTTAAGTGAGGAGGGCGTGGCTTGCTGGGCGCAGTTATTCTCTTCTGTTTATGGCAGAGTGCTGCAGAGAGTGGGCGGGGCTGGAATTTAAAGGGGCGCAGCTTACATGTTTAGGCATTTATTTAAATTTTTTTTTTTTTTTATGTTGTTTAGTTGTTTTAGTGATTATAATCTCCTTTTAACTTCTTAATGTGTGGCTTAGAAATGTAGCAGTTGCCTTTCTAAGCTTGCAGCCACCCCTTCCTGGCTCATAACACAATATCCAATTTATTACCTCCCAACATTTCAAATGGACACAGAGGGACACTTTAATTTTAGGGGGGGTGATGGGGAGTGTGTCCAGGGGAGGGGCTGTTCTGAGAATTTTTAACTTACTTTCCTGGCTAATCATGGCAGCATCACTTATGGGTAGCTCCTCCCTTAGAAGTCACAGGACAGGAATTAATTAGATTAATTAATCAGACTGATAGGTATAAGGAGTCCCTCCTCCCCCTACACCTCAGTCTTTTTTCCTGTCCTTAGCAAGTTCTACAGGACTTTTTACATTTTATTTTATGGCCACCTTCCTGCGTTTGTCGTGGGTTCGTTCCAAATGAAGTTCAGCCTCTCTTCATTTTAAGGACCCAGTAAACAGCCTGCATGAGCAGAACTAACTGGGTCAGGTTCAGTGTAAGTACTGAACTGCAGCGTGGGAAGTAAGTGTTTGAGGGAGACACTGTTTTCTGTTTAATTGTGGGGTTGGTTAGCCTTAAAAATTCCCCTTGTTTTCAGCCTGCCCCTACTAATTGGGGTTATATATCCCCCCCATACCTTGTTGGCAATATTTAAATCCATACTTAGGGGTCTTGTACTCTAGGATGTGTTTTCTTACCTCTTGATTGGTACCTCTCTGTTTCCAGCTGCTGATGGGAAATATGTGGGGCTGTGCAGGCTTCCCTGCTCCCTGGGGCTCCCTGTGCGCCCAGGCATGGGGGGCTGGAACGCATTATGCGTTCCAGCCGACTGTATGCTGCTCGCGGCCGGTTTCGGCGAAACCGGAAGTGAATTGCACGCCGGCCGCGAGCGTCTGGAACGCATGGCGTGCGTTCCAGCGCTCTGCGCATGCGCGGACCGGGCAATCAGCTGTTTCAGTGCCCGGTCCTATTTAAAGGCTCAGATACAGCTCTCTTGTGCTGTATCTGCAGTCCTGATGTCTGTTCCCCAGGGGATTGATTTATCACCACTGCTTCTCCTGTTACCTGGCTGCTTGGTGGAACACTAATTGTTTAAGGTAGGATTTCTATTTTTTGCTGATTATAAGTTTTTTCTTTCATCAGCTTGCCTCTGATCCATTTGTGATTTTAGGTCTTGAATTTCATTTGGTTCTTTTTTATAGTATGGATTCTCCCTCTGCCTCTACAAGGTCCCTCTCTAGAAAACATAGGTGAGCCATTTATTAAATTTATGGGGGGTTGTTAAAAGAGTGCCATACTAAGCCTGTAATATATGTCATATATGGCTTTATTCTAGCCCCAGCATTCATTTGGATTCTCCAGCAAGAAAATCACGGGAAACGTCAAATAAATGCATTAATTGTTCGTCGCCTGCTCCGAATGGAAGGAACCTTTGCAGGGACTGCTTGTTGGAAGTCACAGACGTCCCCGGTAGGGGTTCTCCACAGGACAACCTTAAACTCTGGATTTCCCAGGCTATTGCTGAGGGCTTTAAGGCTACCACGGGATCTAGTGGTCAGAGTAAGAGACGTAGAGCGGAACCTCAGTCTTCCAGCTCTGATGAGGACCCTGATGTGTGGGAGGTCTCGTATGAAGGTGAGGAGGAAACTGAATATACCTCCAGGTCTCTTGACTCCAGGTCTGTTGATAGACTTATTACCCTTCTCAGAGACACTCTTAGTCTCACTGAAGAGAGATCTGAATTAAAAGAGGCTGACAGGTTCTTTGAGGACCTAAAACCTAACAGACCGACTTTCCCGGTGCATACATCAATCAGAGATATGATCCTTCAGGAATGGAATAAGCCGGAAAAGAAGTCCACCTTGAAAAATAAGTTCACAAGGGTTTATCCGTACTCTTCAGTGGACTGCTGCCTGTGGAACTCAGTTCCTAAAATTGACGCTGCAGTGATCCATATGGCTAAGAAAACGACACTGCCTATTGACTCCATGGCATATCTAAGAGAGCCTATGGAGAAGCGTATGGATGGAGACCTGATTAAAGCCTATTTGGCCCTAGGGTCCGCCCTTCATCTGGCAGTGGCACTAACTACTCTCTCCAGAGCCTTGAAAGTGTGGCTCGCTAATCTGAGGGAGGACATTGATCAGGGTGTCCGTAGGGAACATCTGTTGGAGAGCCTCAGGGACTTTAGTCTGGCCACGGAATTCTGTTCAGAGGCCTCTCTGGACATCACTCGCATGATTGCCAAAAGCATGGCCCTATCTGTGGCTTCTAGAAGGGCTCTGTGGCTTCATTCGTGGGGTGCTGATTATGCTTCTAAGGCTTCCCTGTATGCACTTCCGTTCCAAGGGGATCTCCTTTTTGGGAAAATTCTGGAAGATGCTATTCAAAAAGCTGCTGATGGGAAAAAGGCGTTTTTACCTCAAGCCGGCAGGAAGAGTTTTCCTTCCTCCTGGAAGACCAAGCGCTTCAAAGATAGGTCCTTTCGGGACAGCAGGAGCTATAAACCTGGAAGGGAATTTTCCAGGAATTCTTCATGGAAGTCCTTCTCGCATTCTTCTTCCAATAAGCCCTCCAGAGGAAGGGGTGCTAGGATCCCAGGGAAGAAGACAGTGGGAGGAAGACTGAAGTTCTTCTACCCTGTATGGGCCAGCAATATTACGGACCTATGGGTCACTTCCATCGTAAAGGAAGGTTACAAAATAGAATTCACATCTTACCCGATAAGGAAAGGCTTAAACTGGTGGAAGAGCGAGAGGAATTTGACAACAGGCTTCCCGTTGGAAGACCCCCCTTGGAAGGTTATTACAACAGATGCCAGTTCTTTTGGATGGGGTGCCCACTTCAGTTCTGTATGGACTCAAGGGAAGTGGACCTGAGAAGAGAGTCACCTACACTCAAACTTAAGGGAACTGAGAGCGGTTTACAAGGCCATTTTGAGATTCCTGCCAAGGCCAAGGAATTCTTGGGTTCTAATCAAAACAGACAACCGAGCGGTGGCCTCATATGTGAACAACCAAGGTGGCACGAGGAGCAGGTTGCTCCTGGAAGAGCTGGCTCCCTTAATGGCTATAGCCATGACCTATCTTCAAGGCCTGAAGGCAATTTATCTCCCAGGTTCGGAGAACGTAACGGCAGACTTCCTCAGCAGAAAGGAAATTCTTCCGGGAGAATGGCAACTTCACCCGGCGATCTTTGCAGAAATTGCTCATCGGTGGGGCATGCCAGAGATCGACCTGATGGCATCATCTCAGAATCACCAGGTGGAGAATTACTTCTCTCTCCATCTAGACTGTCAGGTCTGCCTTGGTCGTTCGATCTGGGGTATGCTTTCCCTCCCCTACCCATGATACCCAGGTTCCTGCGGAAGGTTTGGTCGGAAGGCAAGAAAGTCATTGCCGTAATTCCAATTTGGCCTCGGAGGCCGTGGTTTCCCCTATTGGCCATGATGAGCCAGGAACAACCTTGGCCTCTTCCAGTGATGGAGGATCTGCTAATGCAGGGCCCTGTATTCCATCCTCATCCGGAACGCCTCAAACTGGGGGTATGGGTCTTGAGAAAGAAAGACTCCAATTACTAGGTCTCTCGGAGGCAGTGATCAATACCCTTCTGCTCTCCAGGAAGGCTTCCACTTCATGCTACCATAGGATCTGGGATGTGTTCCATACTTGGGCATCGTCTCATAATGTGGACTTTCTGCATCCTAGCAATACTGAAGTTCTGGAGTTTCTGCAAGAGGGCCTGGACAAGGGCCTTAGCCTCAGCACCTTGAAGGTTCAGTCTTCGGCACTTTCAGCTTTGTGCAACATCTCATGGGCTTCGGATCCTTTGATTTCCAGGTTCTACAAAGCGGCCTTCAGGTTGAGGCCTCCTTCCAGATCTACTACCCCTCCTTGGGACCTTCCTATGGTGCTCCATTATCTCACTGAGGATCTGTTTGTTCCTCTTGAAAGTTTGGATGCTACTCTCCTGACGTATAAAACTTTGTTTTTGGTGGCAATTACTTCCACAAGAAGGATTTCAGAAATTAAGGCATTTTCTACATCTTCTTCTTGTTTACGATTCTACCAAGATAGGGTGTGTCTGAAACCAGAGTTTCTTCCTAAGGTAGTTTCTCAGTTTCACCTCTCTCAAGAAGTGTTTTTTCCATCATTTTACCCCAACCCCTCTTCTCAGGAGGAGGTTAGATGGCAACATTTGGATGTCATGAACTGCTTGTCTGCATATCTTAAATGTTCTGAGTCTTTCCGTAAAACGGACCAACTCTTCGTTTTGCCGTTGGGAGCAAGGAGAGGTGAGGCGGCTTCTTTATCTACGTTGAAATTTCTCTGATAATTAAGAAGGCGTATATCTCTAAAGGTATAGCACCACCTCGGGAGATAAGAACTCATTCTACTAGAGCATTATCAACTTCATGGGCTAGCTGGGCAGAGGTTCCATACGATGATATTTGCAGAGCAGCCACCTGGTCTTCTCCGATGACATTCATGAAGCACTACAAACTTGATGTGGAGTCTCCTTCCACCTCCTTTGGAAAGAGTGTCCTGTCTACGGTCTCTTTATCCCGTTGATATTAAACTTTTCTTTGCTGCATGTGTTTCAGTTTTGTGTAATTTCATGGATTATTATTCCCACCCTATTTTTCTGTGAAGCTTGGGTATTACCCATAAGTGATGCTGCCATGATTAGCCAGGAATAGAGAAAATTTATGACAAACTTACCGTAATTTTCTTTTCCTGGCTATTTCTCATGGCAGCA